ATATATATATATACACATACGATATCCCTGCGAGCCTTACGTATAATCTGCTTTATGAGTTCTTTGATTCTGCAAAAAGTCAGTCACATGGAACTTTTGTGTTCAGAACCGCTCTCGGGTCCCTTGGAAAGCTTTCTTGCTCCTTCTTTCAATTCCAAAGAGCCCAGTACCTGTTACTTCAGGAAAAATCTGGGTTGATAGGGTCTTACGGCGTTCCACAGGGATTTATGAACCATTAAGGCTGTTAAGGTATCTTACTTACATCATAACACCCAAAGGCTCCATGTACCTTCATAGTAGATACTTAGGCCTTAAAGTACCTCCATAGGGACCTCTTTAAGGCCCAAGTAGCTGCGATATAGGTACATGGAGCCTTTGTGACAAGGAGCCTTGTAAACCCTCCAGTCGGCCATACATACATCGCCAGGATTCGGTCGTACTTGCCTATCAGATCATGCGGAGGACGCCGAGTACCGAAAAGTACAGTGTACGGAGCGAAAGGGGGTTCCCAGAGACTCCAATATCCCTTAATTAAGGAATAGACCTTAAATCATAATAGGAATCCTAATAAGATTTAAGGTATATGCATTCCTTAATTACGGGCTATTGGAGGCTCTGGGTCTTGCAGTGTTCAAAATCAACATGCGAGACTACGACGAACTTTCGTCCGGCCCCAGTATTTCTAATTCTAGGTTGTACCTTAACCCCTAAATAGCATACCGTTTATTAAAGGGCGTCTATAAAAAAAGGTAACTATGATAGGAAACCCTACAAAAAAGTAGAAACGTAGGCTTTACAGGGTCCAGGTATTCCTCAATTGAGAGGTATTGGGCTCCCTCAACCCAAAGCGGTTTGTGTGTTTACGTCCGAACTGCGAACGACGGCGTGCAGCGGCGTCGCCCCAAAAGCCGTAAGGTTTACATAGGGTTCGTCGGCGTTTATAGGCTTTCAGGCTGTTTTGGGGTTCTGAGTAATTGCCTAGATAATCCAATACATACATATATATATATATAAACACATCAGGATTCCTAATTATGACTATAGACTCACAAACCCTATTCCAACCATTCCAGCCCCGAGATTTGCCGCTTAAGGTTGAAGGTTGAGGATGACGTAGGGATTAGTTGATATTATCCAGGCTATGTATGTGTTCAGGGGTGTAGAGTTTAGGATTCAGTTTAGGGTGCTTTGGGTTCAGGGTTTGATCAAGAGCCGCACCCCAAATCTCCGTAACCGTCCACAGACCATCGGCTGCAGGCTTGCACATAATAACCTAGCTGATGCAGTGGCTCTATAGATATACATATTTTTTGCTGCACACGAATTGGTTTACGAAAAGAATGGGCTTGAAGTTTCTGGTGGCTGAAGGTGAAAGTTACGGGCAGTGACACAGCTAGCTTCCAGACTGTACTTCTCGCAACGGATTTGGGGTGTAGCGGTCCGCAAGCTTTGTATCAATGAGTTGTACGATGCTACGGGCTGCTACGAATCTAGTTATCATTCTGGGTTGTCGACAGCAGGGCTCATTCTCCATGAAGTCGCGCACGCAGTCGTTTCACCTCAGCGCCGTGTCTGAAGCTTGACGCGGCACTTCCCAAACGTGTAGTGTAAGTGAGCCGTACCACTATCCAAGTACAATCGGAGCCTCAGTCAGTACTGATGATCTCGGAACCTGACTAAGAAACCTTGGGTCTTTCTTCGGGCTCTTTATATGAGTCCTAATATTCGGACTATAGGACCAGGCTTCTTACAAATCAAGATTCTACATTAGTTGACTTTGTCTATGTTCGAACAAGGTACACGGCTCAAAGCCTTAATCAAACACAGAGAGAAGCCCAGGCTAGATATCCCGATCCCGGATTCAGTTTAACGTTGGGGCTTTTTCGCATGACTTAGTAGCTGAATGGGTACAGTTTACTCTTTCGGGGGATACTGGTATCACCTATAAAAACTGAAGGTGTGCCTTTTCTAGCCTCCTGAACTCAAGCTAGAGGCTCATCAGGGGTCCTTACGACGATGAATGTGCGGATCTCGTAGGGCTGGTGTTTAGATGTTGCAGGCTCAGGGTTTCCTCCTTCAAACTAATTGGACAGCTCCTTTGTTGGTTACTTTGCCTCTTCATACTTCGTCGGATCCTAACAATGCAAACAGCCTGGAGGGTTCATCCATCGTCCCAAAGGCCCAACCTCGCGCAAAGGCTTCACTGGTCCCTGACCACCCCCTTCTGTCGGTAGGGCGGCTCCAAGCAAAGAAGGAGCTTCCCTGCCAGCTGGCAGTTTGTTGGCACTCGCCTTGGGAGTCGGAAGAGACTAGTGGTTCGAAACAAACCGGTATATGTCTCCAGAGGTTCCTGCAGTTGCTTGAAATTTGGTGCTAAATAGGGCCTCTATGGCTGGGATAGGATTTCGGCTTAGGGTTTGGCCTTTAAGTCTTCAATGCTGCAAGGGCTCACTTAAACGGTTCTAAATCCTGCATTGCCTCAAGGACCCTAAACAGGAGGAATTACGGTATATTCGTGATTATGGGTAATGCAGGGTTTATATCATCAACCGTAAGAATACGGACTTTGGAGCAGTAGCAACGACATCCACCGGCACAGGCAAGACACAGTCGGGGCGTGTAGACAACTGCAACCAAAAACTGGCGTTGTGACAGCAGCCCTCCAGGGTTTTAGGGCTTTTATTTCAGGGCAGAGGGTTTAGGGTTTAGGGTTCAGGGTCGAGGGTTTAGGGTTGAGGGTTTCAGGGTTTAGGTTTTAGGGTTTAGGGTTGAGGGGTTTAGGGCTTTAGGGTTTTGGGTAGAGGGTTTCGGGTTCAGGGAAGAGGGTTGAGGGTTCAGGGCAGAGGGTCAGGGTAGAGGGTTTAGGGTTGGGGGTGCAGGGTAGAAGGTTTATTGTTGAGGGCTTAGGGCAGTCTAGGGCAAAAGCCAGAGGCTGCAGACAATTTGCGACGTCCCAGAAGCCATACTAGGGTTACTAGGGTTCAAGGTTGCGGGTTTAGGGCCTAGGACCACGTGACAAGAGCCATGCTAAGGGTTTAGGGCCTAAGGATCAGGGTTGAGGGTTTGGGGTCCTAGGACCATTTCCTAAACGCCATACAAAGGGTGTGCGCTTGAGGGTTTAGGGTTGAGGGAAAGGTCCACAGGTCCCAGATAGCAAGTTGGTACTCGGGTTTAGGATAGTTGTGTGAGCTTTGTACTTGGGAGAGTATATGATCATTGCATGCTTACGCACTTCGGCCTTTATGATTTGCACAAAAGGCATACTAAGGTTACTCATGATACTGATTGTTTGTACGGGGGCCTCATATTATGATGGTTGTCTTTGGGGGTATAAGCTTGAATCATTAGACCTTTTCGGCCCGTATGACTTCGCAAAACCCATACCAAGGAATGTCAATGTCTTTGTGGGGGCCATATATCATGAGAGTAGTGCCCCTAAAGCCTAAACCCTAAACACCTCTACTAAGGATTGTCTTTATGGGGGCCATATATCATGAGAGTAGTGCCTATGGACCCCCTGGGGCAGCAAATGTACAGCCGCAGCCGACTGCGTTTGCCCCTAAGTGTGCAAGTGCCAAGCTTAGTCCTTGTAGGGTTCGTTATGAAAACTAATCCTAAACCCTAAACTTAAAATATACCCCAAAGTCCTAATCTGAGTATATGTCAAGGCCCCTGTAATATTGCTCCCAAAGCAGAAGCACTTGCACCCTTAGGGTTCTGATGCACCTCGAAGACACTGAGTCAGCTTCTGGAGAAAGGATCACATGGGGTGTTGCCAAAGGCAATGATATACTTCACCCTAAAGCTCATCATAGTTCTGGTTTTGCTGTTTCGGCAGTTCCTAAAATTTTTACTAAACGGGTTCATAAAGAGGGCTTTCATTTTCCAAGCCTTTGCTATCATGTTATGGCAGCAATGATTCTGAAAGCACTGAAAGAATATATATATATATAGAGAGAGACACATATAGGTAGAAATGTGTATACATGTATATAGATAGAGAGAGATCCACAACTCATATAAATGTGCATGCGTGTGTCTATATATACATATACATAGAGGTAGATAGGTAGATACATCGATAGATAGATGAATAGACAAGGTTTATGTTTCGGTAAAAGGAATGGATGTTAAGGTTTATGAGTTAGATTGCAGGGTGAGGTTACATTGTGCATGACTTTTAAAGTCTTCGAACAGAGGCTGCGGGGGCTTGGGGATGTTGAGTTTGGGGTTTTGCCTAGACTCCTACTTGCCATTCCATCTATCGGCTTGCTTTCTTTCGTGGATACAGATGCTAGCCATGAGATTGGTTCATCAAGAGCCCTAATTACTTGAACTCTAACACTTACGAGACGAAGAATCCACATCGGAGTCCCTCAACAAACTTATCGTAGGGCCTACCTCCTCTGGTCACTTGTGATACCTGTTGCTGTAAAGAGAGGTTTTCCACACCCTAAACCAACGGTTTAGGGTTTAGGAGTTTGTCATTATACGTCGGCCGTGACGAGTTTTGCATAAGTGTCATCACCCTCGACAAGGATGTGATCGCAGCCGTTGCAAACCCGAAATAGTCCTAGCTACTGTTGTGCTACTTTCCCAAACCGTTCCTGTAGAAACTCCACGTGCCATTACACATTACAAATGTATTTAGAATGCTTGGGGAAACCATTCTTAATCCGAACTCTAAATCCTAAACCCTAAACCCACTCTTAATCCAAAATCCTTTGTGATGTGTACCTAGCGACTTTTTGGGCGCTGTGGACTACAAGTCTTACGGCTGTGCTAGGGTCTGTTGCGCTGCTGGGGTTTAGGGTTTAGGGCTTTATGGGCTTTAGGGTTCTAGGAAGCCCCAAAGCCTAAATCCTAAACCCTAAACCCCAAACCCTAAACCCCAAAGCCTAAATCCTAAACCCTAAACCCCAAACCCTAATCCCCAAAGCCTAAAATCCTAAACTCTGGGCCGCAAACCTTAAACCCCGAACCACCATCCTTGGCGCCAGGTGCTTGCCCGCCGTGGCTTCATGCGGTTTCTCTACCTCGAGGCGTCTCTGCTTACGCGACGTGTCGGGTTCAAGAGGGGTTCCTCGGTTCCCAGACACTCCAAGAACCCTTAACTAAGGAATATGCCTTAAATCTTATTAGGATTCCTATTGTACATAGTTTAAGTTATACTATTCCTTAATTAATTAAGGGATACTGGGTTCCTGGGTTTAGGGGTTTGGGGTAGGGCTGGTAGTGGTTTAGGGAAGTGTAGGGCTTCGTCTGTGGATGGTTGGGTTTGCGGTTTAGGGTTAAGGGTTTAGGGTTTAGGGCTCAGGTTTGGGGGTGTGGGTTTGGGGGTTTAGGCTTTAGGGTTTAGGGTTTAGGGCTTAGGGTTTAGGGTTTAGGGTTTAGGGCTTAGGTTTGGGGGTTTAGGGGTTTGGAGGATTTTGAATATCTGGGGGTGTCCTGAACCCAGGTCAGACTGCTAAGGTCTGCCCTGCTGAAGCCGGGGTCGTTCAGGCAATGTTTTGGGAGTACGTCTGAGCTTTATTACCAAGCCTGAGCCCTAAGTCCTAAACCTTACACCCTAAGCCCTAAATCCTAAACCCGAAAACCTAAACCCTAAACGCTACACACCTAAGCCCTAAATCCTAAACCCTAAACCCTGAGCTATATGACCAAACCCTGAGCCGCAGTGGCTGGATGGGTACACTTTAAACTTTGTGGGATAAGATGATCCCTTTCAGAACTGAAAGTATACACCTTCTGGTGCCTATAAACTCAGAACCCTAAAAACCCTAAAACCCTAGAAACCCT